TCATTGCACATTGGACATTGAAAAAGAAAAGAAAAAAGATTTCGCCCAGCACTATTTATACAAGTGCTTCTAGCATTTATAAGATCCTAGGGTGGCACACGATACCCTGCACTACCTCCCACACTGCCCTACGATGTAAGTGCACCGAGTGAGATTATGTGATCTCCTTTTGGCATGGGAGATTTAGAACAGCCTATCACATACTTCTGGAATACCGAACGAATCTCTTCCTCATTTTGATTTGTTGCTGGGTCCATGATGGATTGGGACTGGACGGGTGTGTTTATCTGCTGAGAACACTGATGTCTGCCTATCTACCTACCTGCCTGCCTGCCTGCCTACTCGCACACTACCCGCACTCCCCAGTGAGTATGATATTTCTGTTGGAAAAAGTCGAGTAAGAAGACCATTTCCTGGGTATTCCAATTTCTCCTCTTGTGGGGAAAGGGGCGAGACCCCCCAGAAAAATAGATAAATCCTGATTCCTAGAACAAGGTCCGTTTTCCCCTTTTTCAGAGTTAACACGAAATTCTAAAACCCCTTGAAGAGTGAGGTATGTCTACATAGGCCAGTACAGTTTCATACGAACTCTAGATCTCGCGAGGCCTAGAGAACTTCGCGTTCCATGAAAGAACCGGTCATGGAAGTTACAAATCCACTACTACTCCTAGTCTGATACTGCAGATTGTGCCCCCACAATACGAGAAAACCCCCCATCTGATACCCATCCGCGGCGTTCCTAACGGGGGCCTTTACCACTCAGACCTCAACCTCTTCCCTCGACCTGAACCTCCTAAAACCCATCCGAATCCAGAGATCCACAAATCCAAAACTTGTAAGAAACCAAGAGGTGAGCTATTTCTCAAGGTTACCTCCCTCCCTCCCGTACCCTAACTCGACCTACCCTTCCACCACGTTAGCGTGCCCAAAATGGAATCCGGAGCCCCGATGTTTGCCGGGCCCGAATGAATGAATGAATGAATGAATGGCTAGAATCACGACAATATATTTGCAACGGATGGGGTAAAAAAAGACCCCCCCTGCCCTCGTATTCGGATGCTTGGTGGAGTTTGACCCACTATGCTCGGGGAAATTCCTACTGGAGATGGTACCCCAAAACTGTTTGAGGGAGAGTTTGTATGTATGTAGAACTTACGCATCAGGCACAATAGAGGGTTACTCCTCGAATGCCAACCCCAAAACCGTTCCAGATAACCAGGAGTGGGCGAAAATCAATTCGGGGGAAGCGGAACACATCCGGGATGCGATTGCTCCCTGGTTCGTCAAGACGCTCGCTCGCTCGTTCCATCGTATGGGGAGGTGTGCTTTAGGCCCACGGTGATGGTGATGATCAGTGAGACCTCCCAATTGGCTTCTAGAACTCGACGCTAGCTCCTATCAATAAAACTCCCTCTAAGCCTCACATTTTACGCCAAGAGATGCAACCCCCCTCCCCCCCTGTATCCTCCCTCTCCGAGTGCTCAATTATGCATCGAGCGGCTGACTGTGTTCCTTCTTGGTTCTCGCTTCCGAGCAGTTTCACGTAGCTCCGCTCGATAGAGGGATACAATGTTTGATTGATGCAATAAACTAGTAAACACACCAAACTTACGAGTAAAGTAAACATGGTTCTCCACCTTTACCTCTTCCGGCCAGAGCGAAGAAGGAAGAGAGAGCTCACATCTCGTACTGCACCAGTACCGTACCGGTGCGCATATATCCTGAAACAACCCAAGTTAGTTACCCTTGCATCCGGCCAGGTCAGTCGCGGGCCTATCAGCTCGTGGATTTGACTACCGTACCCCGCGCAGAATGGTCGAGGCAACGAACCATAAGTTGAGTTGAGACTTCCCATCCTCTCTCCCACGACAAGGGTTCCTCCCCACGAGTTGCCCCCGCCAGCTTATTCTCAAACCGCCCTGGAGGTTCCCGGTTCATGGTGCCTTTTCCTTCCGGACTCCGTGACCGGGAAACAACGCGGCTGAGTACACCGCATATCACTCGAAGGGCAATGGGTATACCCAATCCCACAGGAAAGATAGAGTGGGGAAGAGAGTATCATACGTCGAATAGCATTCGGGAACCGGATATTATTATTTTACTTTTCTTCCCCCTTCTAGAGCGTCGGGGGCTGGGTGCGGGAAGCATTAATATCCACTTCGCTTCGTCTATCAAATTATGCTTACGAGGGCTCGCTAAATCCGCACGCCTTCCACCCAGTCGCATCAAAAGTCGTAATGGCTTCGCGGTCCCAGGCCTGATAGGCGTCTTTTTGAGGCTGGCGATTTTGCTCCGGGCTGACAATGCGTATGCAGCCTTGTGATTCGTCCACTCACTATGCAAGGCATCCAGTATGGATAGCAGAATACCCCCTTTCCTTGGGCAAGCAACCTACTAGTACCTCCAGCCTCCCTTGCCATCAAGTACATTTCCTTTTTCAGAGCCGTCCAAAACACCGCCTCGAGGGCTATGGCGCATCAATAGGGGATGATCAAACAAGTTGATCCGGAATTCCGGAATTATCCTTCACGACGAAATTGGGTGCTTGAAATCTGAGGATTTCGGTGCATCGGCTACTCCCCTGCGCTGTCTCGTCTCTCTGCTCTTGGCCGACCGACCCTAGCTCTGATGTCTGATCAGGGTCAATGCGGATAGCTGAATGAAAACTGATTCGCGATTTCCTGCTGCTACCGCAGTATGTTGGAACAGCTTGGCCGTCAGCTCGCCTCATTGCGGAATATTGGCAGTGCTTCGAGCCCTTTGGCGGCCTATCATAACTCGAGCGACATCAGTTTTCGACGAGTGGCAGTGGTCCAAAAACCGCAGACCGCACCCGCACGTCGGTGGGATTATGCCTGCCTTTGTGGGCTCCGACCCTCCCACATTTTGGCCCTTTATCCACTGAAGCTCGAATACACATGGGGGAGCGTTGTTTGCCGTCCAATACGCCAATGTCGATGGGCGAATAGATGAATACCACAGGTTGGCCAAAGAAACAAAAGGAGTGATTGAGGAAATGGTTGCAAAGTTATCCCGCCGTTGACAAGGATGCTTTTTGTCCAACGATACCCAGCCTACCAAACATCCGTAACATGAACCCTCACTCGATGCAGGTCGCCGAGATAGCGCAAGAGCATGTAGATCGGCCGGGAGAAATATGCCGGTACCAGAATCACCCGTGGGCAGCACTATGCACCAAAGCCATGGTCATCTGCAACGATGGGGAGCGAGAGCTCATTTAAAGTGGGGCCATTGGACCATAGGGATTTTCTGTCTCGGATGCGGGAGAACGACTGCTCGAGTACCGTACCGTCTACTGTGCTGTCTTACGGTGTGAAGGGTAAGACTTGTTTTTTTGTTTTTGTTTTTTCGATGAACCTGGGTGTTCGAGTCCAGTATCATAAGTTGGGTGTCTGACTTACCGCAGAGCGTGACGGGCCAGTGATTAATTATCTCGCAATTACTTCTACCCGTTGATTTTATAACACAGGATAGACACAAAAGTGCACGTGAAACCTCTATCGCGAGATCGGCAGACTTGACTCCAATGGGTGAAACGGACGGTAGACTACAGAGATATTTATACCCTCCCTTCGATTAGCGAACATTGCGTTGGTTGGTCGGGTGCGGCTGTTCGACTCGATTGCGAATTCGGAGGGTAATACGATATTTCGAGGAGGAAGAGGAGGAGGAAGGCGGACCACTCCAAGGTCGAGTCGGTGGCATGATTCTTCTTTTTTTGGGTTGCCCAGGCTTGCCACGAGAATCAGCATTCCGCCTCGGAGTGAACACCAAACGGGTTTTCCACGCGCTATCACTCGTCGGATTCCCCACCCTCTCCCAGACACTACACCCAGTCCTACTCCCTCGACGGGACCCTCCAATGCACCCATGATAACTAATCATCCATAACTCCAAGTAAGGCTCACCGTTGGAGGCCACACTTCATGAGTTGTATACACCACTCTTATCGGCCCAATACAAGGAATCCTTCGGAATCGATACAAAAATGAAGTGCGGGTTTTTCGCTGGCCAGGTAGATGTCTAATGGGATGAACGGTACCTTACATCCGGGGTTGGTAGAGCTTCCAGGATGAAAGATTCGCTAGCGAGGCGAAGTTCCCGGGAAAAGGGAGGGTATGATGCGAAAACTACGGCTCCCAAGTGTATAATGGAATATTCTCACTCGATTACGGCAGTAAGAAGGGGAAATGAATGGCGGGTTCCGCAGCACTGTACTGTACCTTAGAGAAAGTGATATGTGATGAGGATGGACCATCGAACCGACGAATGGGTACGGTGTTCCTGGAAAAAGGAATTAGCGGTTGCGAATCTGGAAGGAATCGGTAGGGTATCCGATTTAATTCCAGTGCAGATATTGTAGTTTGGAGGGCGAGAGAGGAAAAAGAAATTCCAAGATGGAGATTTCATATGGTGGACTCCCGAATCCGCATACCAAGAGCAAAGACCGGTAGACCACGGCACTGCACTGCACAGTGCCATATCATACGGGTACCGCACTATACGAGTACCATACGAGTACCGTACTGTACGGTACTACACCGTATTCCCTCAAACGTATCGCCCCAAGGGCGCCAAATCAGACGCCCCAGAGAAGCCACAGACGGAGAGCAAACAAGGCCAACAAAATCAATCACAAACCGACAATCCTCCTGCTGACACAACACCGTGTCATTCTCGGTACCACCTACAATGCGAAATGGTACAAAACACCGGCGAAACCGAGCGCTGTCCAATCGGAGAATAAAGGCATTCTCAGAGAACGGCCATAATACAATATAACAAAAGAGAGGGACAACGTCCATTGCAAGTCCACTGTACTTGTGAAACCCATGGCGGAGTCCAAACTCACAGCCGATCGCACGACTTTGACAGGTCACGGCCATCCCGTCCCTCCTTGCCCCCTCCCCCCCCCCCCACCACACCCTCCATCAACCACAGGGCAGACTCTGATCCTCGCAAACTCCACTCCAGAACCTGGTTTTCCCCAACCTACCGAGCAACCCTAACTGCCAACCAATCCGGGCAGGAGTGCAGCGCTCTCCTTTTCCATGAGCAGCGAGGACTGTAGGAGTGAACGGTGGGCGAGGGAGCATAAGCGAAGATCATCTCAATGCTATCATAGCATACAAACCCGCCATGTGTATGCTCCGGTTTGCTTGGTAGGGGAATGGTCCATACGTTGAGGTACAGCACACACTTGCAGGAGAGAGAGTCGACCTATACCACTTTTTTTCCCTCTCACCCACCGCACATGGGTATGTGTGACGAATAACTGAATCGTGCTCTTCCGCTCTTCTGCTCTGCTCTTCTCTTCCCCGTAGAGCACGCATGTGCAGAAAGGGACACAGAGAGGCCAATGCATCACCGATACCCACTTTAAAATTACTTCCTCAATCCCAAGCCGCACTCTTTCAAAACGATTATATACTCACCCATCCGTCCCTCCGTCATCTCCTCCTCCTCCCCCCCCCCCACACCCACACACACCACGCACTGCAATTCATTATCCATTTTCACCGTTTTCACGAAAAACGATTACTCTGCGCCATGCATTCATGTTCCGCTCCTCGAGCGACAAAAACCCCACGGCGCCGCCGCCGTCTTCCACCCCGCTACTCTACCTCACCGCTCACATCGTCCGCGACATCGTCCTCGTCGACATCGACCGCCGCATCTTCCCTCAAGTCGTTAAAGTCCTTCTTCAGCAGTAGCTCTTCGGGCAGCAGTGGCTCGCAGCGCAAGCATTTGCTGCACAAAATATCCTCACCCTTCGAACTCGCGGCCGGAAACATCAGAAAAGGGAGGGGAAGAACCATGAGTAGAAGGGTGGGAATCGGTATCGTCGGAGCAGGTGTTGGGGATGGATTATTAGGAAGGCATAAGAAGCCTAGCACGTTGGATTTCAGATGCATCGGGGAAGAATTGGTTAGAGTTTCAACCATCAGGCTGAACATGTTTGCCCATATTGGGGGTTTCGAAGGTTTGTCTCATATCCGTCGTATGTGTTGGTTGTTGAATCCTGACTAATTCTTTTTATCTCTAGATGCTCCCAAGATTCCATGGGAAATCCCACAAATAAATGATTGGGATAGTAACTGGTTTGCACACATTTGTTAGCCAGGCAATGCGCCCCCCCAACTCCTATCATCACCATCATCACCACCATAATCACCACCATCATCACCATCACTAGCATTGTTAAAGAAATGAAAAAAAAAGATGAAAAAAAGCACCCACATGCCCCCCTCCAGCACAACGGACAACACGAGTTTCCTATCCTATCACACCCGGCATTAATCACTTAGCTCCCCTTTTTCTTTCTACCGTACCTTACTCTAGTCTTCCTTGCTTCACTTTACTTTACTTCACTTCACCAGGTTTACTTTTTATACTCTTACCCTACTTTTTCAATTTCCTTCACACTACCGATACTGTACCCAGAACAGCAAACTGGGGGCGAAAAAGAAAAAGAAAAAAAGACGAGAAACGAATGATGAACGAACGACGGAAACGAGAACGAGTCCCTTTTGTCAAGCTCTGTACGATAATAATGTATTCTAGTCAAATGTTTTTCTTGTTCCTTGTCCTGTACTGTATAATAATAAGATTGTGTGCCGGCGGTGCACATTACCTCAAGCAAACACGGTGCCGGCGACCAAGACCGGAAACGTGAGAGGAACCTCTCTTTTTTTATCGCCCATCATATCATACCCTGCACGACACTCCACCCCATCTATCATATGCTTTCTAAAAATGAAGAATAAAAATATAAATACAAATACAAATACAAATACAACTGCAAATAGGAAAAAAAAATCCCATATCGTACTTTTACAAAAAAAAAGAATAGTTTAATCCGAAATAAACAATCCCAGATTCACCCAGCTTCCCCCCCCCAAAAAAAGGGAAAAAAAAAAAAAAAAACTAACAAACACCAAAATAAAATAAAATAAAATAAATCGCCACCAGCGTAGCCGTAAGAAAAGGAAATCCAGCAAACAAAGCAGTTCATTGGAATCATCAATCATACGGTACGGTACCGCAGCACTGTTACTGTTACCGTCACTATTACCCTTTCCGGGTTGGCGCGGGCGGGGGCGGGAGACGTGCTTTCATGTACGAGTACTGTACTGTACTGTGCAAGTACCTGTAGCAGCATATGTCGGTAGATGGGAGTTTTTTTAATTTTTATTTTTATCTTTTATCTTTTGTGGGTATATATTGTGCTGGTGCCGTAATGTACGGTACTGTAGTTGCCGGTGTTTGTGATTTTTATTTTTTTATTTTTTACCCCTTGTGGTGTGTGTGTGGTGGGGGGGAGGGGGGTGGTACCGGTATGTTGGTTGCCGGACGAGTGAGGGGTTGTGATTTGGTTGTGTGGTGTGCACTCTATCATACACTGTACTAGTACTAGTACTGTACAAGCACAGTACCGTGGTAGAGTTTGTGGCCCTTGTGGGCAGTGTTTGCTACCCATCATCATAATACCGGTATTGGGGGGTGTACAGTACAAGTAAATGTGGGTGGGTGGGGTTTGTTGTTAATCTTGGGGTCTAATCTTCTTTCGATCGGGCGGCATCGTGACTGCAGCTTGTGGCTCTACGGGTGTGATAGCATGGTGCGCCAGCGTGATATCATGGCATATGCACGATAAACCGTTCTTCTGTTTCTTTTTCCCCTCTTCACAAATTCATTTCATTGACTTCATTGTCAGAACTAAGCACAGTGCACAAACCATCCCCCCCGCAGCGCCTAGAGCTGTAACCGATACGTCGCAATCTCAAACGGCCTCAGCGTAATCTTGAAGCACTTGTGTCCCGTGGCAGTCTCGGCCAGCGCAACCTCCGAGATATCGTCCTCGAGGATATTGGTCTTGTAAACCGCCTTGACGGGTAATTTCCTATTTCATTCACAAGGCGTTAGTACCCCCACATTCCATAACCAATAGTCGAGAAGGATAGGGGTGGTGAACATACGTATGGATAGTAGTAGACCCCTTCCCACCAAGACTGTCATAAAATCTAACTACCAGACTTCGTCGCCTCCTCGTTGGAATCCCACCGGTGGAAACATCCTCGTCGTCCTCACCCCTCTTGACGGTGTCCATGACTATGCTCTTGCTCCCACCTCCGATGCTAATGGTACTCATTAGTTTGCTCACGCTCTCCATCTCGCTGGCCGCGACATAGCCCAGCTGCAGCGGGTTGTTAAACGCTATAGCCATGCGAACGGTGGTTTCCCCGACGGGCCCGTGGTGTGGGAGAATCGCATAGCGGAATGTATGGCGTCCCATGTCTGCGTGTGCGTCGGGAGCCTTTGGAGCTCGGATCAGGGAAAGGCGCATGACGTTTCCGACCGTGGCGAAGCCGTACTTGCAGTCGTTGAGGATGGACACGCCAAAGTCGTGTTCGGACAGGTCGGCCCATTTGTGGCAGCAGACTTCGAATTTGGCCATGTCCCAGGAGGTATTGTAGTGGGTTGGTCGGCGGACGATACCGTATTGGGTTTCATAGGAAGCCTGGAAAGTTAGCAATATGCCTCTCTCCTGACTGACGGCAGGATTGGATACCTCTGTGTTGTGAACATCCACGGGGAATTCAACTTTTAAAAACTTCATATCCTCCCTCCATTCGATTTCGTTGTCGAACTCGACAGAGCTACCCGCGCCATTCGCCGCGGCTTGAAGACTAATGACAGTCTTGATCCAACTGGTCTTGCTAATTCGGGTCTCGACAAGGACGCTAGCCCTATACGGCCCATTCTCACAAATCGAGACTTTGCCCGCAGGCAACTCCCTACGAGTCTCCAGGTGATAAACCTCAACGTCCCACGCCTGCCAGTACAAGGGTTTGTCATCCATGATGACCAACTGGTTAGCCCTAGCACCCTCTGGAATCACCTCACGCTCCAACTCGCGGTCAATCAGGCTGGTGATTACCCCATCCTGGACAGTGACCTGCAGTTTATCGTTCGCAAGAACGTAAACATCCTTTGTGGTTTCGGTAACTATCCCCCCGTGTCAGTACGGAACATTACTCCTGACCCAAGGGAAACCCACCAGTAACCTTCGGACCGTCCTCAGAAATTTGAACAAGCCCTTTGCTCCCCAGGAACCCGTATTCACTACCATCTGCCCCCTTCTGACAAGCTCCAGCCACCTCTTTCGGAAGCTTAATAAGCTCCGTGCGATCCCAAGGAAGGGTATTCACGGCAAAAGGCTTGGTATCAGAACCCGGAGCAGACTTAATCCCAAGAGCCAGACCAGCTGCATTAATGAGTTCCCCACACCTCCGGAAAAGTTCGGCATAAAGCTTATCAGAGTCCCGATAGCACATTTCGATAGATGACCCAGGAAGGCAGTCGTGAAACTGACATCTGCACCTCGTTGTCAGCAACGGGCATACGCGCGCACAAGGGCAGGAAAGCACTCGTACAAACATATGATTTCCCACAACTCATCAATGTCCTTCTTCGGATACTTGTACCCATAGCTACTACTTAAGCTGGCATACGCAGCCAGTAGTTCAAGGTTCTTCAATGCCACCTCGGCTCGGCGATTGTTCTTCTTGTTGTTGCTCTGGGTAGTGTAGGTTCCTCTATGAAGCTCAAAGTACAACTCCCCATACCAAGTCACGAACTTCTTTGCAGACACTTGCTTCTTCTCCAACCGGGAGAAGAAGTCGTCGACACTGTCACCCATCTTGACACGAGGAAGGAGGCCGATCGTGTCGCTCATCCCACGGCAGCGACGAAGCTTCTCAATATGTTCGGCGGTGGGCCCACCTCCGCCATCTCCGTGACCAAAGACAAGCAGCGACGTAGCATCCTCACCCATAGACTTGTGCTGCGTAACCGACCGCTTGACATCGCCAAAGTGTGCCTGAGCAGTATACGTCTCACTAGGAGGCATGTGACACAGGACCTGAGACCCATCAAGGGCAATCCAGTTGAAAGTCGTATGCGGGAACTTGTTGATATTATTCCTATTTATATAAATCAGCCGCCGAGACAAAACACCGGTATCCGTCGTGGAGAAAAAGAAAAAAAATCGTACCATGAAAGCTTCTGCGTCAGGAACCTCGTCATTCCCGCAAGCCTGCACAACTGCGGCAATTGCGCACTATATCCAAAGGTGTCTTTTTTTTTTTCTTTCATCAGTTCTCGCGCTTTTAACTTTGTTCCCGTTCGCGTGTCAGATTCCAAACTCACCAGGCAGCCAAAAAGTGGTACATCTCTCGCCGAATCTGCTCTGAAAGTAGCGCTGTCCAAGGATAAACTGTCTCACCAAACTCTCCCCACTCGGCATATTCGTGTCATGCTCGACCCAACTTCCACCAATATACTGAAAGGTGCCCTTCTTGACATGATTGCGAACTCTCTCAAAGAGTTTCGGATAGTACTGTTCAAGCCACTTGTACTGCTGCGCAGAGGAAGCCGTGAATCGGTGCTCCGAGTACCTGTCTAGGAGATTGCACTGGGACGACCACGAACGTGCCACCTTGCCTAATCAATACTCAGCACCATACCCAATCACGACCTGACACAAACAAGGCGGAAAAAAAGTGGGAAAGTAGTCACACGTTTCGTCTCATCAAACGGCCAAAGCCAGCAAGTATCGATATGGCAGTGTCCGATCCCATACACTACCGGCTCAAGATCCGAATCGTAAACCTTTGCAGAATCGACCTTGCCACCAAGGTACCTTGCGGCAATATTCCGGCATTTCAGGATAGACTCTTGGGATCCGGGAACGAAAGCGTTGACGATTTCATTGGCAATCTGGGTAGCCGTATGCGCTTCCTAAAGTAGCATTAGCCAGCCTCGGGCAGCAAGCGGGTGGGCGGGCACAAAGCACATACCCAAGAATCCCCAGGAAACTCCCGTGATGCGTCACCCAGTATCCAGAAGTCAATGTACAATCCTTGAGCTTGCAAATTCGGCGCGACAATATCTGCCTTTGTCAATTGGAAGCTACCGCACACCGCCCAACAAGCCACGGTTAGCCAGATTCACTCAAGCATTATGGAGGAGAAAACCTACTATCGATTCGGATCCGGTGGCTGAATACTGTCCCCACCAGGAGCGTTCCCAAACATGCCATTGCACGCCAACTCGACATAAAACAAATGTTCCTTGCCATCCCTCCACCGCTCAGGAATTTGATACTCAACCCTCTCCCCACCACCGGTAAGCCCCTGCACCGGCTCACCCTCCTTCGTCCATACCAACCCCTCGCAATTCCCATCCCAGTGAAACTCCAACCTCTCCTGCTTCAGCATCCTGGTCGGCACGGTGATCCTAACCTTGAACCAATGCGTCGACCACGACGGTCCGAAACTCTGGCCCTTGGAAGTGCTCTTGAACTCGCTCTTGACAGCCTCGTCGAATGGGATGCGCTTCAGGTCGGGGACGGAGTAGACTTGCAGCTTGACGTACTCGCCCGAGTCCTCGCGGTCGCTGATGAACATTGAGCGGAGGTTCTTGCTCTCGTATTGCCCCGGCGCGGTGAACTGCTTCAGGCGGTCCTGGTAGATGTTGCGGATCTGTTGACCCTTCGGGGTGAAGTTCAGTTGCGGGTAGCTGGAGGCACCAGCGGTGGCCTCCGAGAAGGGGGTTCCGCCGCCCATTGTTGTCGACGATGATGGCGATAGTGTCTCTTCCTGAGGAGGGTTGTGGTAGTGGTGAGCGTGGCCGCAGCTGTCGAATGCAGTTAGCTGTATTCCGGGGGACCTCAACATATATGAACGCCGATTGTGGGGAAGATGCAGGGATCGGGCCAGGGAAGGCTTGGAATGCTAGCTGTGAAGGAGAACGAATGGGGGTCAAGCTAAGCTATCCAAACCTCATAATTCAGCAATTACAATTGCCGATGCTAAAAGAGAAAGAAAGAAAGAAAGAAGCTCTCTAGCAATCAATTTCGTCGTGGTAGCAAATAACTGCACGGGCACTGTGTACAGTATAGTACGGTACGGTAGTAAGTAGTTTATCCAGGACAAACAAAAAAGAAACCCCCAATTTAAGAGGGACCTTCAAGACCATTTAAGTTAAAAAAACAATCTCAACCGCCATCACCATCCGTCACCCAATTTACCCCTCACCCATTCCATCCCATTCCAAACACACCCACAGGCAAATGTCGCACAACCCCGCGAAACCGCTCCCCGCATTCTCGTGCCACGCTCATTCACAATATCATAATATCATACGATATCAAAGGGGAAAGAAAATATATATATATAAACCCTCACTTGATGACTTCTTCCTCCTTTAAGAGCCCACCCAAAATCCAGTAAGCAGCCTCGGGGCCGGTAATCCCATCCAGTCTCTAGGAAAACTACAAGTATCCTATAATATCACCAACAGTACGAGTACTTGTACCGGTATTATAATTTATTATCAAGATATGCTCATCCGGTGTTACCCCCGTTCCCAACTGCCCCCTCCCACCTTCTTCATGTAGATTCATATAAAACTCCGGCAGCGGGCCTCCCACCTGGGGGATCAAGAAGCCAAACACGGTCCACCCGCGGACAGCAAAGCAATCAAGAGGTTTCCCCATCCGTTCAACTTTTCGCCAATCCAATAAGTTAAACGAACAGGTGTCCGGCAGGTATCCCAGAGGTACCGTGCCAATCATGGTCATCAGGCTACGGAACCGGCAGTTCTCTACGGCTGCAGCCCACCGCCCGTGCCCTATCACAATCTCATGCCGGGGCGGGGAGCAGGGGAGGATTCGGCTTCCGGACGCCCTACTTGTTCCGCCTTTCCACCGCGCAAGTCATCATCGATACCCGTAAACTACGTGGCGACCCCCGAGTACTGTACCGTTCAGTAAGTTACCCTCAGTATGATACCCGTTCGTACGATACACCAGGCGGCGCTAGCTTTGCCGAAGCATACATTTGTGGCACAGCACTTTTGCCCCCCCCCCCGGCAACGCCTTAGCCTATTGTAGGGGAATAGTCCAATGAGGTACAAATCTTCAGCCACGAGTTCATTCAGAGGGTGAGCAAACCTCCATGGAGGCAACCTATGACCACGTCCACCCCGCCCATGGACTAATACTGTACTCGAGTAGACCATGTGAGGGCTCAGCGAGGCGACACCCTCAGCGAGGCTTGGCGATATTTGGCAGCAAAGATTGCCTACGGTCAACGACAGTAGGGAGCCAAGCCGTGCCGCGCCTCGCTGAGGGTGTCGCCTCGCTGAGCCCTCACACGGTCTAGCCAACTTTCGAGTGACGATGTGTGACCACTTGCTCCGCGGAACACTCTACAAATACGGTACGGCATCCACCAACTGCAAATTAGCCATCTATGATAACAGATGGAAGACTCCACAAAATATCGCTGTCACCAGGATACGGCACAGCAGGCACAAGATATTCATCATTTTAATCATTATTATCATCAGCTACTCTCATCGCCCTACCCTAACAAGGCTCTCATTCTCGTTTTCAAGACCTATCCATCTGCCGTTAAGTGCATCATGATTCCGTAAACCTCGCGACCCCACCCCACCACCATGTACCGACCGGTCCAACGGACGTTCTATCATTCTGTAGTCCAGGGGAAAAAAGAAAGAAACCAGAGCGTAAAAAAAAAAACACCGAATACACAAAAGACTTTTGCTTAGACAGCTCCGGTGGATTGCATCTTCTTTCTGAGGTGGTTCTTGTATTGACCGATTGAACCCTCCCACCGCCTAACCGTCTTATTTTCACACACAAGGATATCCTTGGCAATCTTATCGAGGAGCCTGGGGTAGAGCGGTTAGTACACGACAGTCATGAATTATTCCGAAAAGGGGCATTTACCGGAAATCGTGAGACACGACGACAACACCACCATCGAATGCATTGATAGCCTCCGCTAAACTGTCAATAGTAGGGATATCCAGACCGTTGGTAGGTTCGTCAAGCAACAACATATTTGGGGACTCGATGGCAAGCAGAGCAAAGACAATTCGAGACTTCTGGCCCTCGGACAAGGTCCCCATCAAAGCCGTCTGAGAATCTCCACTCAGACCATACTTTCCGAGCTGCTGCCTCCAGTACTGGTAATCTTGGCTCTTCTCTCGGTACTTGTCACGCACAAAGTCCAAAGCCGACTTGGTAAGATCAAGCTGCTCAGCCGAGTGCTGGGAGTACATTCCCAACTTCAAGTGAGTGTGTCGGCTGACCGATCCGTTTCTCGGCTGAAGCTTTCCAGTCATGATTCTAAGAAGGGTCGACTTCCCAACACCATTGGGTCCGACAAGTGCCACACGGGAGTCCATATCCACGCCAAGATCAAGGTTTTCGTAAAGATTATCCTTAGCATTACCAGAGTAGGAAAAGGTAACGTCATCAAACGAAAGCACTGGTGGGGGAAGCTTCTCGACGTCGGCAAAACGGAAAGAGAAGACTCGATCAGGGTTAACCTTCTCGATCAGACCATCCGCCTCCATCTTGTCGAGAATCTTCTGACGAGATTTGGCTTGCCTAACTAAATTGGCATATGTACCCGCCTAGAGAATGTAAGCATGGAGCACCGCAATATTTTACAAGATATTACTTACAGAAGCAATGAACTTCTTAATATGCGCGATCTCCTCTTGCTGCTTGTGGTATTGTTTCATCTGGTTCGTCTCTTGCTCACTTCTGGTCTTAACGTAGCTGCAAGATCATGGGAGTCAGCAATCACAAAAGCGCGCAAGCTGCCGCCAGGAGAGTACTCACGCATCGTAGTTACCGCCATAGTAGATGAGCTTTCTCAGTCTCATATCGATCATGTTGGTGCAGACACCGTTCAAGAAATCCATCGAGTGAGAAACCAAAACAAGGGTACGTGGCCATTTCTTCAGATACTCCTCAAGCCACACACATGCCTCCAAGTCCAAATGGGCGGTAGGATCGTCCAAAAGAAGCAGGGAGGGTTTGACGAATAAAGCCTTCGCCAATGCAACACGCATACGCCAGCCTCCGGACATGTCCTTCGTATGCTTGCCCATAGTTACAGGGTTGAAACCCAAACCAGTCAAGATAAGAGACGCCCGGGTGGCGAATGTTGAGGGGTCCATACTGTCGATACGCTAAACAGACTGTCAGTAATTCCGAGATATACCAGAGACATCGGTAATGGGATCAGATCTGGTGAGGCTGAACGTGCTGGAAAGGTGGAGAAACGGGGGAGTTAGGGGTGACCGAACCTCATAAAGATCTTCCAAAATCGGACTGTCATGACCCTCAGTCTCCAATATCTCTTCAGCCAGTGTCTCCAATCTCTTCAGCTCTTCCTGAGCTTGAGTAACAACGTAGTCAAGGGCTCCCAAGCTGGTCTTATCGGCAGGCTCATTGAGCAGATAGATATCAATGTGCTCAGGAATGGGAAACTCCCGCTTAGCAATAGATTTCAACAGAGTCGATTTCCCGCAACCGTTCTCACCGAGCAACCCATATCGGCGACCGTAATTCAACTCGAGTGTGGTATCCTGGATAAGAACTCTACCATGGAAGACAAGCGAGACGGAAGAAATTTTAGCATCGCGAGATGACACCAACGAGGAGAGGACACCAGTTGTGACACGGTCGGAGAGCCCGTGCTCGTCCTCCTGCAAAGCGAGCTTCTCAAGTTTAGCCAAGGCCCTCTCATCCGTACCCTCAACAGCTTCGCCGTTCACTGAGGATGCTTTAGAGGTCGCCTTGGATCCAGCCCTAGATGAGCCGGGTGTGGTAGCGAGCTTGCTGGCAGCGGTCTTCTTCGGTTTGTCCTCACCACCGGCAGCACGCTTCGCGGCACGCTCGGCTTCACGCTTGGCCTTTGATGCAGAAACCATTGTTTATATGACTAAATGAAGGTTAGGGAAGAACTGATTTCGGGGTTGGAAGGTTGGGTAGGAGAGTGACAGGAGGAATGGGTTGTTGATAAGGGGAATGAAGCGGAAGTGCGAAGCTTACTGCTGAGAGATGTGGCAGTGAAAAGTCTGCAAATGCAAGGCGAGGTGAGGAAGGGAAATATAAATTGGAAAAGAAAAGAACCTCTCAGAAACACGGACAGGGATGAAGATGAAACCCAGAAATCTGTCCTTTTATCAGCACCTTCCAACGTTCTATCCAAATAGAACGAAGAGGCTGTAACAAGAGTGAGTGGAGATGTCTACCGATGGTGATAAAGACTGAGGGGGGAACAAGTTATGGAGGGGCGTGGAGGGGCAAAAAGCACGGCGTAGCCCTTGACTGATTGAGGTTCGTTTAGCAGGGGCACAATTTTTCCCTTCTTGTTTTTATTGATTTTTTTTTTTTAGCCTCCTCGTTTCCGTTTCCCGTGCCATCCTTGTTATCAGATCAATTCTATCGCTATCAGATCAGAGCCTACCCCTGTTTACTCGCGGTATCGTACTGAGCCATCGTTGCCTCCGCAACCACGAGCAACAAACAATCGATAGTAGTGTGCGAGTAAGCCAAGAGTATCGACCCCACCGGTCATAGGTCCGCAACTCATACACAAGGTGCCGCTATCTGTATGATACTTGTACCCCCAAGTGCGCTCATCTCTCTCGAAATGCCCTATTACTCGAACAACACTCCGGCAGCCGTGGTGCAAAGACACCGCAGGACACAAGCACTCTACCACGGCGGTGGTGTATCCACCGATCCACATCGCGCTACCAATATCGAGACGGTATCTCCCATGCTAACACAGTACCGGTATCGCCTGTAGGCCTTGGATCCTGATCGCCATGAATTTATTTCCACACGGCAGCTACCGTGGCCTCCAAAACAACCAGGCCTCAATTTTCGCCAGGGTCATATCGTGGAATACCCTGTAGAAGGGGGCTTGTGCAAACTGCTACTTGGTCTACGGTGGGGCCCTCCCAGTGCTCGCACCAGCCATCACAAGCCCCAGGACCAAGAACCCGCAAGGGGTCACCCTCTGAGATCCACAGGACACCAAGAGTAACTCATAGCTCCATTAATAAAGGCCTAATCAAAAACACCATCTTGAACACCCAAACATGATACCAGTAATCCCCCTCCTCCTTTCCCTTCCGGCCCATCACCAGTCCCCCCCCCGCCTCTCTCTGATCAAATCCCCTCTTCGGACCGGCTGCCAACCCAATGCAAGAAATCCCCCATTTGTACTCAGTGTTATACAAGTTAAAAAGACATTTTCCATTGTTCCATGCCGCAAAAGGATATATAAAACGCAAAAGGAGATAACCCGTCCCATCCGCACCAGTTAAAAGGAAAACCTAGCCAGGAAAAGAAAAGAAAAAAACTGAATGGAAAAGGAGATTGGGAGACACGAGACAAGGAAAACGCAGAAACATCCTATCTCGTGCCCGCTCCTCTGTAGCTGTAATCCTCATCCGGAGCGATGGGCATGCTTAGTCCCGACGGGGTCCTCCTATTCCCGCTCATTGCCACCGGTCCATGTCCTCCGATTCCATTATACGCGCTTCCTTCGCCGCCCCAAGGAAGAGGGTTGCCGGGGTGGGCGTCGTAACCAGTATCATAACTTGTCACACTTCCGCTACGTCCATGGTGGGAAGAGAATCTGCTGTCACCATCGTCCTCATCCCGATCTTTATTAATGAGGGCATATTCGTCGTTAGAACTAAAGGCATCCTTGGTGGTTTCCTCAATGTCATGCCCTGCCGGGCTAAGATCTTCGAATGGGGAGACGCTGTTTTGGTGGAAATACCAAGCGGCATAGCCCGCGATCGCAGTAGTTCCGAGCCAGAAAAACCTACGAAGAGTTAATCACCGGGAAGAAGTGGAACAGAGGGATGAATGGCGCGCGGGGTGAGGGATGGGGGGGTTGTATACCATAGAACTACGCCGAGTCCAACGGCTGCTTGGTTCATCTTGCATGCTTTGGGGTCCTCACCGGTTCCAGCGGGGAACAACGCACAACCGCCCTCCTTCTTGATCTTTTCATCCTTCTCCTTCCCCTCTCCGTCAGAGATCCCACCATTAGTGTAGCCAGCGACAGAAACGAAAGCCGCGAACCAGAGAATCTACCCCCCGTCAGTTTCCCCCCGAGCGTGAAAAACGATGAATGGGTAAACAAGTTAAAACACACCGAGAATATAGTATTAACCCCAATAACCCAATACGGGTGCGCAAACATTTTCGTCCTCTCAAACCGAGGTGCCTGGGTCAAATATACCAGCACCGGAGCCGCAAACCAACACTGCGACGGATAAACGCCATCGTCAGCTTTCACGACAGTCTGCAAGAGTGACGATGGGTGGATGGATGCGAGCAGAGAAGGAAAAACCAACCATTGTAAACATGTACTTTACCGCACCGCTTGCCGGACCATTCGCTGACATGCTTGCTATAACCACCCCCATTACCACCACGCTCCATAACGCCTGAATGATGTGTAGGGCCAAGTTTGCCTTTGCGAGGATGGCCACGTTTATCATGATGTCCGAGTGTTATCTTGGCTCCAACCCTTTGATTCTGCTGTTGCTGCTGGCACTGAGACGCTCGTCGCAATACTGCTATTCGGGGGGGGATAAGAAAGTATTTTCTTCGCTTCTTTCTTTTCGTTTTTCCCCCGATCCCGACTCAGGGTTTTAGTGTTGGAGAGCGAGCAAAGGGTAGGTCGAGTTGGTTGGAAAAGCTACGATGATGGTGTAGGGTGAGATTGAGGTGAGGCTGAAATCACCTGTTTCTCCTCTGTGCTGACGTCGTACTAAACAAACAGAAGGAAACGAAACGATCAATCGGTCAACCAACCGCCCCTACCGTATCTTCCTCGCTTCCAAGGGCACTGCAAAAGGTAAGCAAGCCACTAGGCAAGCCGAAGGAAATAGGATGCCGTGTACCGTGGTATGAGAAGAGAAAGAAGAAGAAAAACAAAGCAATCACAAGTAGTAAATAGAAGGGATGCGAGGGAAAGGAGATGGATGAAAGAAGGAAGGAAAGAGGGAAAGAGAGAGAGACAGGGAAAGAGCTACGTGAGCTCAGCTTTCGCTAACCTTCTCCTTCTCTCCTCTGCTCGCTCCTCGCTGGGATTATGGTGGCTTCGGAAAGCTCAGGTGGGGTTTATTTTTGGTGTCTGCCAGCCATGCAGGACCCCCCTCTCCTCAAACCGCTCGCACAAGAGCGCTATGCTCAAACCGCCGACCACTACGGTATAGCCATCCACTGCGATCAGAAGAAGCTTTAAGGGAGGCTCACCACACCGGTAGTACCGTATGATAGGCTTGGGTAGATAGGATGAAGGACTGATACGGTATTATTATTATCGTAGCTTGGTGAACTCATAAATAATACCGGTATCATGTTATCGCCGTATTACCGGTAAATTTATACCAGAGGGACAACCAACCACCCTACCAAATTTGACATTTGCCACCAGATTCCGCGGTATCATACCTCTATTAATTATTCCCTCCTCAATGCTCAACGCTGCGCGCTTAATAGCCCGGAGACCTGAGTGCGGTGATCGCGAAAAAAACAACCAAAAAAAAGCGTCCATAACAACAAAGCTCACCACCCCCTCAAAGGCCCGAGAAACATGTTCTCGAGGAATTGGAACACCACGAGCCGATCCACAATCTCAGACTTTCTCCATCAATCCGCTGGTTCCGCTTCTGCCGTATCTCTCCGGAATGTTTTGGTGGTGTCCGGGTTATTAATCCTACCGCCGGTATAGTATCGTGCTTGTGCAAAGGGTGTGCACTGTGGGAGCACGAGTACGGATACCGTACGCTGTACTGTACCGCACTGTAGCATGATACTCGCACCTGCGCCCCGCATAGCTAGTTAACAAAGCTTTGTACAGTACTAGTACAAATTACCCTGTGGTACAGTATGATACTTCATATTCAGCCTTGCAAGGTCAACGACTCGGAGCTAAGCCTCTCCCCCGACCCGTGCTTTTTTCTTTACTTTTCACAGCACCAGCACCGCAACCCACGGCGCCCGAGTATCGATCGGTATGGTACTTGTATCGCAATCTCATTGCACAACCTCCGCCGGCACTACCGTGGTATCATACGGTACCGGTACCGGTACTGCATTGTGCTCCCTCCAGAATCCTCCAGTTAGCTCTGCTTAATTTATAATGCCATAGCAACCACGCGATGCGATAGTTCCCCCGCCTGCCGCGATAGACTACCGATATCAACCCATAAAGTTATTCGAGTACACCAAAACTCAAACAATCTCAACCACCATCACCAGCCCATCCCTTCCTCTCCGAGCTATTAAATCACTTTATCCATCACGAGACCAAATCCTCAGCCTGCATACAATTACCATAACACGGCACAATCCACCCCACCTGCCCGAGCACAATGCTCGAGTACGGTACTAGTACAGTACGAGTACAGTGCAGTACCGTACAGTACGTGCATACCGCACCGACAGGCAAACGTCAGCACCAATGAATGTCTCGGCAAACCGGCCAAACCCCACAGCCAGCCAACAAGTCCTATGATCCCAGCAAAAAGAAAAGAAAAAAAAAGAACCACTCTTTCTCTCCTCCTTGCTCGACCAGTCAGGCAGGCAGGAAGACACGGCACCTTTGTAGAAATCGAAAAGAATAGAATTGCAAAAGCCCCGCGCGTGTACTGTACTGTAGGCCATACAGGTGCTCTTGGAGTACTCGTAACTGGACTGACGCTTGTACCAGTGAAAAGGACTGTCATTGCACACCACCAAAATTCGGGGGCAAAATTCCCTGGCCGCACGCATGGCTGCCGGTACCAGTAATCCGTTCTACAGGCGTCAGGAAATCACGAGTATCGCGAAAAAGTGCTGCTTGAAGGGGATTGGGCTCTTTCTTTTTTTTTTTTTTTGCATGTCTTGAAGGGAAGGGCTGTCAGGTGGGGAAGTACGGTATCGTAGGGCTGGGTGCTCGGAGTGGGGAGATGAATGGGGGGGGCAGTGCGGTGCCTCATGTTTGAGGATTTGAGTATTGTAGGGAGAGACATAACTTACCACTCGATACAAGTAGTAGTGGCATTCGAGATTAAAGGTGCAGCAAAAACTTTGCTTACTTTGCTGTTTCATGTGAACTTGGCATGCACAGAAATGGCTAATTTACTATTACTTAACTTTACCTTACCTTACCTTTCTTTCCTGGTATGATGAATATGGAGGTCTGGAGACCTAGTAACTGGTACAGAATTCAGGCTCAGTTTATATAACACAGCTTTATCAGATCTGTGACATCACATACCGGTATGGCATGAAAAGGAAATTTTTAAAAATAGGTTCTTGTGCTCTCTGCAAGATCCATCATAACCTCTGCCTTTACGTTCAGTTACCTTGGAACTTTCAAATATGATACCCAAAACATGAGGATTCTATTGCTTAATACCGGAAAACAGCCTCATACTATACAACTTCCTGCATTTTGCTTGTTACTGAAGAAATAATCTTTTCTAAAAAGCACGAGACCGAACCCGGAAGTGAAGGCCCTCGATGCCAACCTTAACCATACTTTTATGCCTTTATGATGGTAGCCGTGTGTGTTCCCCTGCATAATCCCAACAGGAGTTGTTCCACCATACCGGTACTCGAGAATCTACCACTACACGATAGCTAGCTCAATAGCGGGATTCATAGGGGTCTTACTGGCCCCCGGTGCGAAGCGACAACTCCCTGCGCACTGATTGGTAACCCCCACCCAGCCAGATGGTGCAAACCCTCCGTCGGGTAGTTTTGGTCTGCGGATTACATTATGGCCACGAGGGAATTGTCATTCCGGGGAAGAATGGTAGGCCATGAGCACGGCACGTGCCTGTACTGTACCGCACGGTAACTGGGTCGAAGCATGGCTTGCTTGCCTGCCGCTAGCTCGAACCAACCGCAAGCGGTTATTTACGATATCCTACTCATACAATACCCCATCCCCCTGCAATGTTAACAGTGGCGAATTTCCCTACGCCATGATTCAGGCTCTTCGCACAGTAACTAGTTTTTGACATTCCCGTAAGGGTGTGAACCAGGGTGATCGAGTGATATCAGGTGCATACAAGTTAATCTACCGGTATTCTACTATGATATGATACAAAAAATTTCCCCCCAACTCGAGCAGCGAACCTACTTAGAGTCCTCTCCATCCTGTGCAAATTTGAGCAATTGTTGGTGCTACAGAACTACCCCGCTGCCCACCGTAAACTGTATCTTCTGCGATCCTTCAAGGGTAATGTACGTAATCCTGTATCACGATTAGGGCGATTCAGCAGGTTCGGTGCACTGGTTGCTTGCCTAATGAAGTGAGCAGAGTATGATAAAGAATAACTCCCTATCCCGAAGCCTAATTATGCTCCTAAGATTCAGCACCAGTGCTGATTCGTATCGCTAAAGTTCTGCTTTTCCTAGATCGCGAGCTGGATTGGGGAGAGGAGCTAATCCCGATTAGTTTCTAAACAGATATTTTGGTCCCTACGGTAACTTAATTCAAGTTTCTCCTCACACCCCTCCCCCTTGGGACCGCTGATTTCTCTCTTTTTTACCTTCTCCATTTACTTTTTGACAGGCATCCTTGGATCTTGGCTTTATATCCCACTTCGAAAATTTGCTCCACTGCTGTTTGCTGTCTGCTAGGAAGTATTCGAAGATAAGGGTCCTTCTAGGGGGGTATAGCCTCCCCCAAGGAGAAAAGGAAAAGTTTTTTTTTGGATATCCTCACTTTCCTCGTTCCGGAGCCTTTCTTGGCCCAGGAAAAATGTGGGACGGACTGGCGGAGTCTGCCTATTCACTGTCGGGTAGTTTATGCGTGCACGAGTGGATGGTTACTAGCCACGTTTAGAGTTACATGCTAGTGTCACTGATATGTAGGGTTCATCTTATCCTACCTACCAATTATAAAAACAGCGGAAAACTGTTGCAGCGCTTGCGAATCCGAGCGCATGGGTACTTACTATCTAATTTGATACAATGCCTATTAGTTCAGGTTTAATGGGGCTTGACTAAATTCAAATAGTTCAGGGTTCAATAGGGAAAAAAGATATCCTTTCTAATATTTTTTTATATCTTTTAACACTCTCCATAAAGCCTTTATTCACTATTGACTATTTATTATGCCTGATAAAAGTTTGGCTGAAACTTAGTTTATTCAGGGGTTTCTAGCTATAGTTAAGATTGACAGGGAAGGTTATACTCTTCTGCCTGTTGCTGGCTTCCTTCACCCGAGTCTAAAAAGTATAGCCTATGGTCGAATAATCATTTTATCGTACCACAAAGAGAGGCTAAAGTGATTAGCTGTACCCGGAGGGCTATAAGCAAGCAACTGGTAGAAGGATATCGCACGGAGTATACAATGGCAGGCTATCTTTAGGGCTTATTGGGAATTGGAAAGGTCAATTGAAATTGGTCTGGGTTGGGTATGCTGGGTCGCTTTGCGCTAGGGAAAGAAGAAAGACAACAAATGGACCTCTCTTTGCCATCCGTTATCTCAGTTTCCATTGGGTCCTTAAGAGCTATGAGTATCCTTATATCCCGGGATTCTGTTCAGACCGGGTTATTTTTATTCCGATTTGTTTAGTACATGTACGAGTACTCTACGGTTAAAGCTCATGAAATCCACTATTTCCCGTAGCTTGTCGTGGACTTCCCAAGATTTTATAGTATGCGACTTTAGGAAAGGGCTAAAGTGAGCGATGCGAAATGCCTACGAGTGCAGTAGGGATTGTACTCACAGTCGATTCGAGCAGAGAGAATGGTAGCCCACGCTAACATCCTTCCCTTTCTCCTCCCTTCCCCACATTCTACTCACTCACCCGGGAGTGGCGGGGAAGAGCCATCCGTGTGCCGTCTCCGGAGACTGAGAGGCAAACCTGCTTTCCCAACTCCGCAACTACCCACGATATGCAAGGTGATTGTACGTATTCCCTTACGAACACCACTACTCTGCTATGTGAGCACATCGTCAGGACCTCCAGATCGTCAGTCCCGCCAATGTGGTCCTCTGGGGAAGCTGTGAAGGGAGGGTTCGACTACAAGGTTTTGCAAGGAGATGGCTCGCCTTACCTTTTCAAGGCCAATAACGTCTTGCGAATGTATGATATCACAATTGAAGGGGGGTTTTTTTAGGACAGATATATCGTGGAATAAAGAGTGCTGGGTGAACGAGGGTGATTTTACGAGCGCACGATCCAATCTCTTGTTTTCTCTGTAATGCTGTAGGCTTTTTTTTTTTTCAACTCTTGTATGATACTGTGTTTGTTGCCCACGGGTGCCATGGACATAAGGTGCTGTGTGGGATGGCATTTGGCTCTCCCCGTCAACTTGCGACTGGGCCAAACTTTGGTGAGAGAAGTCACCCCCTTCAAAATACCCATTGGTAATCAAGCTGTCTGATAGACCCTGAGGTGCCGTGGTGTATCATACTGTACGTTGAGTGAGGCATACCGGTA